TTTATCATGTCACCGATAGAGTACATTTGCAGTTTCCTGTTTCTTTTTTGGTGTGACAATCTATCAGTAAGGTAACAATACTAGAGAAAGAAAAGGGATGTTAGGCTACAAGATTTGCTTTTATAATGAGTTCCTTTTCTCTCCATACTTGTGGGACACTCTTTTTAAATCAGTGTTCAATAGGCAGTTGATGCACATCTTGATACTTGATCTATGGATGGGCTCCCCACAAAGTTTGTAGCTTGGAGACATTTGTGGCAGCTCTGCTCAATAGAATTTTCTGTGACGATGGAAATATTCTATAGCTGTACTGGCCTATAGGGTAACCATCAGCCACGTGCGGCTACTGAGCGCTTGTCATATGCCCAGTGGGACCGATGAACTATTTTTTATGTTAATTAAATATATTTCAACTGAAATCATTACATGTAACTAGTGGCTGTCTAGGGTTCAGTGTAGTTTTAGAGAACCAGCGAAATTAGCAAAATAGTCCTTTGCTTAGCAAATGAGAGATGTTCAAGTTTTTATTATGGGAAATTGTATGGTTTGAAGTACATGACAGATTTTTACTTTTAAAAAAATTTGTCATTTCTTCAGTGGCTGGCGTAATAAAGAGTTACCAAATGACTGGAGGCTGTTAGGTTTCCTGTCATTTCCACCCTAGCTAGCCTTGACTCATGCATTCTGAGTAAAGTTACTTTGGCAATTTTCCCTGGTCAATGCCAAATCTTCAGACCTACTTTTCACAGCTGTATCAGTCTTTCTGTGAATGAAGACTTAGAGAGTATCTCTTTCTTACTATGGGTGCTGGTCTTTGCCCTTGCCCTCGCTGTGTTTCTGTGTTCAGTGCCCCTTTAGCCATGTTGGTGGTTTCCTGACTTCCACCCTTTACTCACCCCTGGTCAAGCCCAGCATACTTCTGAGCACTTCTAGAAGGTCCAAGGTCTCCCAGGGCCCTGAGATGTCTGTGGCTGTCTGGAGCACTTTGTGGTTTCTGGTCTGATTGTGTTCAGGGCTTGGTGTTCATTTATGGCTTCTAAAACAGGTATTACCAAACCAGACGGATTGACAAGAGGGGTCTGACTTGTGCCAGATGACACACTTGAAGAAACTGAAAGTGTAGCACTGGGCTGTTGTCATTGCAGTAGTTGCACCTTATTTTGTGGGGATATATGCCAAGCCCCCCAGGAGATGTTTGAAACCATTGATAGGACTGAGCCCTCAGTCTGCCAAGTATTTCTTCTACATAATACTGTTATGGTTTGTGTCTGGATGTCCCCTCAAAGCCTCATGCAATCATGGGGTGGGCTTTTAGAGTTTATTATTGATCCATGATCCAATGCTGGGATTATGGGTGTGAGTGCTACACCTGCCCTGGGGCGGATAGTTTGCATATGTAAGGGAGAGAAAGAGGCTGCTGGCCTGCTCTCCTCCATTTTGCTCTGGTTGCTTTTGCTATCTTCCACTGCCATGAACAGTTGCCCTCTGCCATGTGCCACTCTGCCTTGGAGCCAGCCAAGTATGGACTGAAACCTCCATAAACTGTGAACTAAATAAACTTTTCCTTCCTTAATTCTGGGTGTCAGGTATTTTGTCTCAGCATCAAGAGAAAAGTAACCAAGCCACATACATACATAGATACCTATGATAAAGTTTAATTTAAAAATTAGAGTAAGAGATGAACAATAATAAGAGAACAATTATGACAATATACTGTAAAAAAATTGGCAGCATCACTGCTTTTGTGCTTTGGGGCTGCTGTTAAATAAAATAAAGAGTTACAGGCACCACAATACCTTGACAATTGATCTGATAATCTAAATGTCATGAGAAAGTAGCATATATCACATGGATATGCCACACGGACTCATCATCAGGGCAAGTGGACTGGGACTTGTACGAGATTTCATGGTCTTACTCAGAATGGTGCTACTTTACAATTTCTGAATTGTTCTTAGAATTTCCTGTTCAGTATTTCCTGAGTCCAGTTGATTGCAGGTAACTAAAACTGCAGAGTATGAAACAGTGGATGCAAGGGGGTTATTGTATACAGGTACCATTTAACAAGCGAGGCATTAGGCTAAGTGCTTTGAGTCCTCATTTACTTTTTGTAGCAACCACATGGCCCTTTGTTTATATTAGAGGTGCATTTAGGGAGGTTATGTGACCCTCCTTGAGGTACACTGGTAGGAAGTACAGGCATCTGCTTCCTCTCTATACTCTGGTTTTTGAGCTTACACTCTTAACCATGACATAATCCATTATGTAAGAGGGAAAGAGTTTTTGAATGTTGGCGCAGAGGGCAAATCTAAAGGAACGGGAGTTTGACGATAGCGAAGGATTTTCTAATAATTCAAGCTCTGCATCATTAGATGGTTCACTCTGTGGAGGACACCATAGCCCTCATTAGCAGCCCACAAGCCCAGACTTAACGCTGGTAGACAGCAGTCTCAAGCTTGTGCACACTCATGTGGTAGATGAGCTCTGGGTATCTTTCCAATTCAAGTTTCTTCTGATCATAATCTTTCCTGAGGACATCTATTGTTAATTTATTCCACAGGATGGCCTTTTCATTTTCTGTGCAATTCCTAAAGATCATTCTTTTTTTCTGTGTAGAACCGGAGAAGAAGCTGCCGCTCATAAGCTGGCATAAGCTTATGAAATTGGCATAAGCTGGTTGAGTCTGTCCCTGTGGCTGAGTCTGTATAGGAATCCAAATCTCATTTCCCGGGGAGTAAAGACTGGACTAGATCATGGAAACTGAAAGATGATTGCCAAAATTATTTTAAGCATTTGGTAGACTTTGTTTAATTTTGTTACAAATTGCGACAGGCAGGAGCGGAAGAAGGAAATGGTGCTGGATTCCAAGTTACACAATGATCCCTTCAATAATTGAGTGTGCTATTATAATTTTAATGCATCCCTTGGTAGTATGATGTGCCCTTATTTCTTACACGCTTTAAATCTGCTTTTATTTTCTACATGTAAGCTAACGTGGGTTTTTACAAATACATTTTCTGTTGGAAGAGAAAATACATGGACTACTGTAAACTCCAAGTTTTGACATTTGTTTATATTTTCAAAAAAATGTGTTGAGTTTCTCTAATTAGAATGTGAGCACTTTGGATATGTCATTGAGGATAATTTTATGAGAAGTGGGTTTAGAGGTTTTTCTCCTTACATTCACTGTGAGAAAAAAAATCTCTATATATCTATATCTATATATATTTCTTTTCTCTTTTTTTTTTCCAGTACCAGGAATCAAACTCATGACCTTGCGCTTGCCAGGCAGGCACTGTGCCGCTGCGCTAAATCCCCAGCCCCTATATTTCTTTTCTGTATCTGCTCAACCTGCCTGTACCCTCCCTAGCTTCTCCCTATTGTGTTCCCTCTCAGTTCCCAGCCGCCTACATTCTACCCCTAAATCCTAAAATTTGTAGCAGTGACCCTGAGTTTCTACACAATCCAAGGGATCCTAACACTGATACACGCTTCCATGGAGATGGTTGTGAATCATGATTATGGAGGAAATTTTCATTTTTGAAATGATTATCGCATGTAATAAGCTCTAGAGAGGAAAGTTTACATAAAGAGATGTGGCTTATAAGAGGTGAAAATTGGGCTAAAGAACACAGAGTTTGGAGTGTTAGGGAGAGTGAAGATTTGTGTTTCAGCAGTTGAGGAGAGCTGAGAAAACTGAATTGAGCCAGAATAGTCTGAGCATCTGGAAGGAACTTTCCATTTGACGTGCAGGTCTTGAAGAAGGCTGGGAGATTTCTAGGAAGGTAAACAACACAAGCAAGGAAAAATAAGCAGAGAAGTGGAAGAATAGAGGGTATGTTTTGTAAATCCTGAGCAGTTTAGTTTATATCAGAGTTGAAAAATGGGAGAAACCAAAGTTAAGAAAGAAAAATAAGTTTCAAGCTACTTGTGAAGACCCTCAACTATCAAAGCGAACAGTTTGTATTTAGCTTGTCTGCGATTTTGGGTTAAGCTCCCTCCCTTCTTTTTCATTAAGTTGACATTTTTCATTAACTAAGCCACATATGTATGTATTTATTTCTCTCCCCTACAGGGAAGGATCGTTGGTCACATTTATTTTGATTTATAGCATTAATGCTGAAGTGCGTCTAGATTTGTTTAATATAAATCACTATACAAATCACTAGGACTTGTAACTCTATCTGTATTTTTTATACTGCTATTTATTTATGGCACTTATAACTAATATATATGCTTCATCATAGAGATATATGCTAGTGTGTATGTAGTTTCTTACGCTGAGTTGGTTCAACAGTACACTTGCTTGGAAGAGGATTTTTTTTTAAAAAAGTCTTCTTTCTAGATATTTTAATTTGATCAGGAAATTAACATGGAGCCAAATCAGAAAGCATTTTTTCAAATACTGATTTAGCCATGGAAGTTTGGAACTGGTAAGGCTCAGCAATCATCTCTACCTCTTCCTTCCCCTTTGGTTTACAGTTGAGGAAATCCGGCTTATCTCAATGTCACACACCCAGTTACTGTCACTGCCAAGGCTACAACTCAGGTTTCTGTATCTTTCTAATATAACCCTCAAGTAAGCAATGAAAACAGAACACTTTGAAGACGACATACATTTGCAGTTCAAAAAATTAATCTCATAGACCACATCAAAATGGATGAGTCAATTCTAAAATTTGAATACAATAGTTACACTTTTGTTAATACGTATTAACAGCATTACGTTAGCAAGTATGCAATCTCAAAAAAAGTCGGTTGTTTTTACTACAAGTGATACATCCAAATTCCTCTTTGCAAAGGTTAACTGGTGGCAGCATTGAGAACAAATAGAAGAACATTTTACACAATGAGAATATTTCTTTTTCTCCATGTGACTAACATATCTTAGTTTATAATCGCGCTTCTAACAGTCTGGTCATTGGACCATCCAGGACAATCAGAGCCTTCGCACGTGGAGGCCCATAAAGCGTTCTGCGTGGTGTTAACAGCATATGCAGTGTAGGGGTACTGTCCAAAGTAAAATAAAATTGACCTTGTTAACAACCACAGCAAGCATCGCCTATATTATCAGGGCTCCGCTCTGAGCTCTTGTAATTGTGGTACCTTCCCTAGGGAGAGGTTGGTCTGATTTATTTCCATCAATCCAGTGGAGGGAATGTTTGAACATTTCACGTATCTAAAAGTCGGAAAATCAGCCCGCCTGAAAAAAGGACTTTTTCTGGATTCTATCATGCACTTTGAAGGGAAGGCAGTTTTCGCTCCTCTACATAGCTCTGCGTTTCTTTCGCACTCATGGCCACCAAAAACACCAAAGACCACAGTGCATAAATCAAATCACCGAGTGCCTGCTATTCACTTGGGAAGCTTTACTGTTTTCTGTCCTTTGTTCCTTTTCTGACCCCTGCTAGGGCCACAGGCCTTGGGCCTCCAGCTAAGTCCCAGGAGTGTGCGTGTGTGTTGGGGGGCGGCCCTGAAAAGTCCCGGAACCAGAAGCGCAAGGGGCGGCGCGGGCGGGGGGGAAGAGAAACGGAGGGACCGGCAGGCCTAGCTTCACGGCTGCGGCGGCGGCGGCGGCGAAAGCATGGAACCCCTGCGGGTCCTCGAGCTGTACAGCGGCATTGGCGGCATGCACCACGCGCTGAGAGGTGAGAGAGGCCCGCATGCCTCTGTGCTGACCCGGAGTCTGTGCGGGGCCGCGCGCCGGCGCCAGGGAGGGGCGCAGCGGCGAGAGCGTAGGGGCGGGGCGGGGCGCCGGCGGCCCTCGGTTGTCCTGGAAACGGCCTGGCGCGCCGCCCCGGCTGGGCCTCCCGTCCTGAAGCCGTGCGTGTGTCCCCGGCGGCCCGCGCCCCGTGGGCTCTGCGAAGTCGGACTAGAAGGGTGCCGAGCCCTTCGCGCCGTGCCGAGGCCCAGTTCTCAGAGTGCTGCGCCCGGGAAGCGGGCGGCCCGGCCGTCTCCTCCCTAGGCCGCCCCTGCGGGAGGGGGAGGAGCCGAGCTACAGCGGGAGGGAGACGTCCGCGCGGACGGGGCGGGGCCGTGCGGCCAACCGGAAACGCCGGGGACGTCGAGGAAAGACAACGCGTCGGCTGCAGGTCGCGCTTGGATGCCCGGGACCTGCGTGCAGCCGTGACGTCCGGTTCTGTTACGTTGTGACCTGGAGCCTTTTTTTTTTTTTTTTTTTTACATTTTTTGAACCCGCGTCCTAGTTTTAAAGTGTGAAACAGTAACTTTCAAAGATGGCTTATTGGGAGAATGAAGGATAAAGCATGTAAAGTAGCTATGCGTCCCCAATGTACTAGAGCCATTCAAAACATTGTGTTACTGTTATTACTGTATCCCGTGCATTCCGAGGCTTTGGTTTTTTTGGTGCTGAGTTGGTACTGTGCTAGGATATGGAGTGACAAACTGTGCGTGTTTATTCTTAATTACTAAGACAACCACAAAAGTGGAACTTCCCGGCTTCCTCCTTTTAGTACTACAGAGTAGGAGACAGTAACACTGTAAGATACGGACAGTATCTAATGGATTGAGAATATAGATTTTCTGAGCAGATGTTGGGTTTTGGTTGTAGTCTAAATTAGTGTTAAATTTTGACTACTTATTTGCTGGTTTCCTACCTTCATTAATACTAAAAGTTAATCTGCTGTTTTAATTTTGTAGGGTTTTATAATGTCAGCGTTTTTCCATATCTAGAAATCACTTAATGAACATGATTTTTTAAAAAGAGAATTAGAAGAGAACAATAGCAAAATACCAACAACATAGCCAAAAACAAGACAAAGCAAAAACAATAAAAATGATACAAGGTTTCAGAAGAAAATGATAGGAATTAGCAGTATTTATTTATTGATATGGGATCTCACTGTGTTGCCCAGGCTGGCCTCTAACTTAGGATTGTCCTGCCTCAGCCTCCTGAATGACTAAGATGACAGGCATGTGCTGTCATACATGGTTATGAACATGATCTTAAAGTTTTCATTATGATACTCCATCATAAGCTGTCATCAACCACTCCTTAACGGTGCATATTTAGATTGTTCCTAAGATTTTTTTTTCCAAATCCAGTGTGCTACAGTTTCATCCTTAAAATTCCTGTTTTTCTCTTTAAAAGTGTTTTTTGACATTCAAATTAATATATTGTGATAAAACTTATTATGTGCTAAAACCTATGAGAACATTTTAAGGCTTTGGTAGGTAAGGTAGCAAATTGGTTTTTAGACCTTCTTAAGTGCCTTCCTAACTACACATTCATCAGGATTATATATTGTCCATTTTTAACCTTGGCCAGTTTGCAAGGAGACATTGTACAGTTTTAACGAATTTATTTTGAATTAGTGAAACAGTAAAATATTTTCTCTCCATTTAGCAGTGCAAACTGAATTTACACATTTTTCTGTTGTTACTATTGTGAATCTAAGATGGGGTCATTTCTAATTTAAACTAAGATAGTTTTCCAGCTCTTGTCTTTGCTTCCACTCTACCTTCCCACTCCATCCCTTTTCTACAAAGCAAGTGGAATCTTTTTTTTGCACATTGAACCTGATCATGTCACCTCTGCGCTTACATAGCTTTCCTTGTAGGTTAGAATCTATGTCATGTCTTCTCCCCAGGCCTGTGAGACCTGGTGTCTGCCTCCCTCCTTATCTGTCACTTGCCACTCTGTCCCTGGCTCACTTGAATAGGCTCACCGGCCTGCTGTCTGTCCTCAAACCCTGTAAGTACCTTTTGTGTTCTGGCCTTTGCTCTTGGTGTCCTTTCCACACGGAGTGCTCTAAACTCACTTTTCCACTCCAGCTTCTTTTCACCTGACCTATTTCCATTAAGATGTGGCCTCTTCATTTTCAGAGAGGCCTTTCCTGGAATTCAGGTACCCTTATGCCCTCTTTACCTCTCTGCTCTCTTACCTTTTGATTTGAGGTCCATATATTATTGGTATTCACTCCTTATCATATTGATAGGACTATTTCTCCCATGCTTTTGCTTTCTAGTGTTCATTTATTTGATGTAGCATTGTTTTAGCATTATCTGTATAAAATGTGTTACTTTCCATGTGGTTTTTATACAATAAAGACATAACAGTGGCAGCTAACTTCAACTTTTAAGGACCCTTCTAAATGTCATGTCCTATTGTATTTATATAACAAGCTAGTTAATAGTAAAGCCACTAGGCTAGGACTATCTACCACACCTTTTAACCATTGTTCTGGCTCTTACCATTACAATCATCAGAAGCAGCACAATGGAATCATGTTGAACTTCAGTGTTAACTGATTTCTAAAGTTTAAACTGGAATTTTTTATTGTGATGAAATATACATAACATAAAAACTACTATTTTAGCCCTTTTAAGCATACAGTTTATTGTCATTAAGTGCTTTCCCAGTGTTGTACAACCAATACTGTGTTCCAAAACTCTTTCATCATCCCAAACTGATGCTCTGTACCTGTTAAACTCTGTGTCTTCTTTCTCAACCAGCCCTTCATAGCATCCGTTCTACTTTGTCTCCATGAATTTGTCTAGCCTAGGTGCCTCATATCACAAACAATATATATTTATATATATATATATGGTCTAGATTTTTGTACTTAATGTAATATTTTCAGAGTTCATTCATATGGTAACATGTATCAGTATTTCCTTCCTTTTTATGGTTGAATAATATTCTATGTGTGCACAATTTTATTTATCCATTCATCTGTTAATGGGCCCTTGGGTTGTTAATAATGCTCTTAACATTGGCATATAAATATTTCTTTTGAGTTCTTGGTTTCGCTTATTTTTGGTATATACCTGGAAATGGAACTGGTAGATCAGATGATGATTCTATCTAAATCTCTGAAGAACCACCAAACTTGTTTTCTGTGAATTTAATTATAATCATCAGAAGCAGCACAATGGAATCATGTTGAACTTCAGTGCTGAGTTTCATTTTCTCCAGTTTCACAGCCTTCACTTGCTAATTTTTTTATAACAGCCATTCTCGTGTGTATATATTGAAATCCCATCGTGATTTTGATTTGCATTTCCTTAATGTCTAAAGAGGCTGACACCTTTTAATGTGATTATTGTGCATTCGTGTTATCTTACAGAAATGTCTACTAAAGTCCTTCCCACTTTGGAATTTTGTTTTTATTGTTGAGTTGTAGGAATTTTTCATCTATTCTAGGTATTAATTCCTTATCATATATATGATTTGCTAATTTCTTTCTCACATTACTGAATTTTATTTGTTATAAAAATACATTTAATTACTTTAGCAATATGATAGATTTGCCTCAAACTCAATAATTGTTCTAATAACTCAATAAAAATTTTCAGCCTTATCTGTATATGCAGTGTGCTATTTGCATTGTTACAATCACTACCTAGATGCTTCTATATTTAGTAAGTGCCATTTAACATATATATACCTATATATGTAAATATATATTTATCTATAAATATATATATGTATATTTACCTATCTTTATGTATCTCCATACCCCACATCCTGCACTATTCTTCTTTGTTTCTGCCTCTAATACAGTATCATACTTGTGATAGGTTCTCCTTTGGTGACTGTTGAGTTTTTGTTGAGTTGACAATTATTTTACTGTAATTTAGATAACACCATAGAAGGCTTAGCTCAAATTCTTTTTATTTTTTGGTATAACACGATTCTTAGTTGAAGCCACAGTTAACATAAACACTCTCTAGTTAACTTTAACAGAAAACAGATATTAAAGGACACTTGGAAACTCATGGAATCCATAGGACACTTAACATCATTATGGTAAACAGGAGTGCTACCCAAACTGTACTCTGGAGATTAGCCCAGTGAAGCCCTACACTGATATCACAGCTTGCTGTGACAGTGTGAGGAACAGTATTCCATAAATGCCACCAAAATTTTGCTCTAAAGGATGCCTCTATTTCCTCCCTCAAAAAAAGATGGATTTTTTCATTTGTTTGCTCACACTGCTACTTTTCAGTTGAAGTCTTATGTGGGTGCTAGTGGTTAGTGAGTACTAAATCCCCTTGCCAGATAACGAAAGCTGGAAAAGTGAATTCTGACTTCTGTCTCAGAAGGGTACATAGTGTGGCAAAAGTTTCAAAGATATGAACTTAAATATGGTACTTAAACATAGGCAAGGAGTCTAGATGGCCATAGTGTGACAGTGTCTGCTCCATTTTTAAATACATGCTTCCCTGTGTAGGAAGTGCTTGTGCACACTTAGATAGTATTTATGTTTGTATAATCTAGAAGGCTTTGGCTAATGGAAATCATTCTAGTGAAAAACAACTTTGTATAGAAAGCAGAGGAAGAAGTAGTGTCATAGTTTATACATCAGTGGAGCCTGCAAAGAGACCTGTAGATATAAACAAAGAAGACTTCATTTTTCTCCTTTTAAAATGTAGTAAGAGGAGAAGGGTAAGATGTGCTGTAAGGTGGCAAATAAAAGCACCTCTACCTAGATGACTGCTGTCTGTACAGTCAAATATTGGAGACATCCTGTGTTACTTTTCTTGTTGCTGAGACAAAGTACCTGATGCCTAAAGTTAAGGAAAGAAAGGTTTACTTACCTCACAGTTTGTCGAGGTATCAGTCCATAATCAGCTGGCTCCAAGGCAGGGTGACACTGGAGAGGAGAAACAGTTCATGGCAGGC